AGATGAAAATTCTAGATAGTGTTTAAGCTATAGTTTACGCTTGTGCAGAACATTTAGTTTTATATCAATCCACGAACAAACTCATCGAAAAAACTAGAATAATGAAGGCTTTCATTGCTGTCTGTGTCCTCTTTGTAGGCGCCTATTGTGCGCCCATGCTCGACGATCAGTTGGGTAGCTCATGGGAACTCTTCAAACGAGTTCACGAAAAACGATACTCATCTTTCGAGGAAGAGCTTAATCGGTAAGAAACACTAATATTTGTATATTATGTTCGCTACGATGATCTTTGGTTACCTTTCGATAGTCGACACATCTGGGAAACTAACCTTGCTAAAATCCAGCAACATAATCTTGAAGCTGATCTTGGTATGCACACATATACTATGGGAATGAACAAATACGGTGACTTGGTCAGTTCCTTATACGCTTGAAAAGGAGATCTGATTGACATTTTTTTCTATACTTTTTAAAGACTCATGAAGAATTCAAGAAGCAAATGAATGGCTTGAAAGTGACGGTTAATACTGATACGAACAAATTCGATCGTCATACATATTTGGCTCCATCGAACGTTGTTCTTCCAGCCTCTGTGGGTAAGTAGATCTTCGATCCAATTTTGCCAGCGTACTACGCATACACGTCCATGTAGACTGGCGTACAAAGGGCTATGTCACCCCCGTCAAGGATCAAGGTCAATGTGGTTCGTGCTGGGCTTTCTCGGCCACTGGCTCACTCGAAGGCCAACACTTTGCCCAGACGAAACAACTTGTGTCACTCTCAGAACAAAATTTAGTCGATTGTTCGGGCTCCTTTGGCAACTTTGGATGCCGCGGTGGCTTGATGGACTCGGTCTTTCAATACATTAAGGCAAACAAGGGTATTGATACCGAACCGAGCTATCCCTATGAAGCTCGTGATAACACATGTCGTTTCAAGGCCGCGGATGTTGGTGCCACTGACACTGTGAGTTCCTACTTTGATATTTATGCATGAAAATATTTTGCATCATTGACATGTTATAGGGCTTCGTCGATATCAAATCGAAGAACGAAACCGATCTCCAACTTGCCATTGCTACTGTTGGTCCTATTTCCGTTGCCATTGATGCCTCACACGGCTCGTTTCAATTCTACCGCTCTGGTGTTTGCAATGAACCAATGTGCTCACCAGTTCAACTCGATCATGGTGTATTGGCTGTCGGTTATGACACCACGGTAACCAGTCAAGATTACTATATTGTTAAGAATTCGTGGGGTACTTCATGGGGTAACCAAGGTTACATCTGGATGAGCCGCAACAAGAACAATCAATGTGGTATTGCTACCATGTCGAGCTATCCACTGGTCTAAATTATTCATTATAGAGAATGTATATTTTGTTTTTCATGACTTTTGGCTCACAATCCTTTTCTTTTCATATAAAGCACTCAATAAATAAAAGCATGAGCCTCTCCGAAAGATTGCATTTATTGAGGTAGAAGATAGGACAAACAGAACAGCGGAATGGCCCAAAAGTAACTTAATATGAACTTCTTTTCAGCTTTTTTTTCTTAAGCTCTCTCCCCCCGCCCTTAGAAAATCCAATTTTTCAAAGAAATATCGAAGTTGAGTTTTTATCATAGGAAGGTGCAACGAAGCTTCCTTCTTCAGAATATGTATGGCTTTTTGGAAAATGATCAGATTTTCAAAGACTTATCACATGAAACTTGGAGCCTCCCACCATATTTTCCGAGAAATTTTCGTGGTTTTTAAAGGTTTTCAGTTTTGGACAAAATGCGTTGCCACTTGCATTAGCATTGAGTAGAACATTTTTATATTACCCAGCATAACAGATGGCGTTAGCTACCTTCATCTCTTACGTGCTTTAAAACGATCCACTGGAATGAATCAATAATATATCATTGTAATATGATTGTTTTTGAATTTGAATGAAAAAATCCAGTTCTAAAATTTCTTTAGCGTTTTTCTCAAAATACGGTTTCCAGAGAGGAAAATTGAAATAACTCCCGTTCGGCTCGAGCTATATCCAATATTTTTTTTTGTTTTAAAGGTCTCAATGAGAGTACACTTTTGCCAACCAGGTTTTTTAAAGTCGATTCCTGCGATGCGAAAAGTGGAATTTACTGTCGTTGTATCACCATTTGTTATGCTGATTTTTACACCTTCCACTAAAATCGTCATAAACAATCAATAAGATGGAATTTAAAAAGTCTGTTCGGACAAAAGTTGCTTACTGACATTACCTTTAATTTGAAACCATCCCGAGCTCTATAGCACGGGTCATGAGGAAGTTAGGGTGTGGGTGCTTGTGAGTGTGGATGTACAACGGAGTTATCGTTTCCTACACCCACATCCATACCCACACACTCACACACCCACCCTCACCCTCATGTTGTTTTGTGATTTTTCGATATCTTATACAGTATTGTATAAAGAAAACGTATTTGTTTGGATTGTTTTTAACTAATGTGTTGAGTTCAGCTATCATCGGTTGAAATTTTATTAATGGACATATACTAATGTGATCTTGCATTTTGTCGTGTTCTCCCTTCCAATCACATTTAATGTTGATGACTGCTGGACATGATATCGTTTCTTCCACACAATTTGCAATATGATCTTTGAAATTACGTCGCTGAATATTAATTTGAGAGCATGATTTGCATTTGACAAGTAATTAATTTAGTTGATTGAGAAAAGGACGTATGGTGACAGGATGAAAATCTTCGAGTGTCAAATCATGACGGCATGTTGGACATTTGGACATATCACGAAAGGTATCAGTGATACATTTACGACAAAATACATGTCCACATTCAGTAGCACAGAGAGGATCTTCAAGCGGGCCAGTGCATATAGGACATAGGAGATCTTCATGAATTGAGTCTTCATTCATATATTCATATGTGTCAGTAGTTGCCATGCAAAACGGAATTGAATTTATGCCAGAAACCAAAGCAGACTGAAAGATACGGTTGTATTTTACGTTAGTTATACGACAATTGACAACCAACAGAGTAAATATATTTCGATGAAAGACAAATGGTTGTGACTGATTTTTTTGACTTATTTTCGTTCTGTATTTAAGAACGGTAATGTCTTTTTTTATGCCTTACAGATTCCCCTTATCCAGGTGTATGTGTGAAAGAAATGCTTTATATTAGCATTTTACATTGATATTAGAAAAGAAAAAAAAGCGCCCGAAAATAATCAGATAGCAAAAATGAATATAGAATCGGATGAAACTGAAATTTATCTTATGCTGCCATTCTTAAGCACAAAGCAACGAGGACATGGATGTAGATGTTTGATATGCACCAGTTCCAGTTAACTGGGTACTAGTCAGGACTGGAAGTGGTGCATAACTAGTAGGTGTGGGTGTGGGTGCTAGTGTGAAAGAAACCAAGGAAGCAAACAATATATCCACAGCCACCCACATTCACACACTCACATCCACATTCATACACTCACACCCACATCTACACTCACACCTCACATCAACACACACCCCAAAAGTTCACGATAAACTAGCAAAGAAGTGCTGGAATGCAACGTTTGCAGCGCTCCCAAAAACCGATAGTATTTTTGTAACAGCTTTTTTTTCACATTCGACCCTTCGGAGAAAAAATTTATTCTCGTTCTGTTTCAACTAGTCCATTCATTCGCCGAAAAATCGCTTTTATTTTCACGCCAGTATATTACCTTTTTTCTGGCATGTAGACATAACGAAGCTTGAAAGAAAATATCTGGTACGACTAATAAAGAGAGAAAAGGAGAAATAACCACCGGCATCTCTGTTGCCATCTGGATATGACTGCGGGTATGGATTCTCTCTTCAGGTGCTTACAGCTACCCACATCCACACTCACGCACACCACACCCCACGCCCACATCCCGCATCCCACACCCACACCCACACTCACACGTACATCCACCCACATTCACATCCTAAACCTAGTATTTTAAAGAAGAGGCCAGCTGTTGTGCTGTCGAGCAGGACGACATAGTGTTGAGTGGAGTGTGCTAGCGTCGAACATGACGACATAATGTTGAGCAGCGTGTTGTAGCGCTGAGCTCGAAGATATAGTGCATTGCCAACTAATTTAATCCTAGTATAACTGATGTGTTTCATTCGAATACCCACTATTTCTTTAAATTAAATCCCAAAGTTCAAAAAAAAGCACAGTGTACTTAAATTTGCCAAATGGTATTGCCTCCGTTCTACTTTTAGATTATCAGCGTGAATAATAAAAGTCAACATTTTTTCGAATCTCTTGATGCTTTGACTAGATTTAAATTCACCTTTTCATGCTAGCACAAGTTTTATTTGTTCAATAAAAGACAAAAATCTTTATATAAGTAGAAAGTGTGGGTGTGGGTTGGATTGGATTGGATGTATTTCTTTCTGGTACCCACCCCAACACCCGCAACTCTGATCAAATGCACACTGCAATGAAGAAACAGGGCTTTTTTGACGTTTACTTTCGCATGGAGGGTGTGGGTGTGGGTGGGTGTGGGTGTGAGTGTGGGTGTGGGTGTGAGTGTGGGTGTGGGTATGAGTGTGGGTGTGAGGTGTGCGTGTGAGTGTGAGGTGTGGCTGTGGCTGTGTGGGCATGGGTGTGGGATGTGGGACGTGGGTGCGGGTGTGAGTGTGGGTGTGAGTGTGGGTCAAGTCAGCTATACCAATACTCACATCCACATCTACACTCACACCCATACCCACACCCACTCTCACATCCACACCCATATCCACACCCACATCCACACCCCACCCCTAGGATGTAGGTCAGGATAGCATGAGATATGTGTATCGAAACGGTTTGCAAAAAGAAGCTTGATTTAACACGTATAGAGCATTTTATTGGATGAATAAAAATAAGTTATTAATATCAAACATACACAAGTCAATTTAAGAATGACAATCGAATGTAAAAAATTGAGCTTCTTTAGGAGTGTCAAAAGAAACATTATTTTAAGTTGTTCATATGAAAAATTCGATCATGTTGCTGGACAGCCTCTCCATTCTGTATTCTTCGGTAATTGATCATCTTTCATAATGAGTGTTAACGGATGAATTGTGTTGTTGCCCTGGGCATGTGCTCCAGGAAAAACGAATGCCCAATGGAACAGATGCGAATAGGGCCCAATAGTGACAGGAGCTAATTGATGTATTCGACCTTCATCTGTGTGACACTATAAATTCGTAAAATAATAGATATCGATGATATCATAAAGAATATTAAGTGTCTCTCACCTGAATTTTGGCTGTTGTGCTTAAACGAACATGTGATCCAATAGTGACATGTTTCCAATCTTCAACTGCATTCATCTCACCGATAATTACATCTCGACCAATGTTCGCCTTGAGACGACGCAAAAGAATGATCAACCATTGTGTTCCACCTAGAAGTGGCGCAATAAAAGTATAAAAATCGAGTGTCAAAATTGCACTCGATTGATATTGCCAGTGATTGATACGATCAATCGAACGAATTTCACGTGGTAAGGCAAAGAAAAAGAACGAAATAAAATGTTCCACAAGAAGAAAATAGATCGGTAGAAGAAAGTACGAATGGATAAACAGAAATGAAATAATTACTTTGATAAGAAATTGAACACAAATAGCACATACTAATTCGGAGTACATGTATGGTGAAAGTTTATTTGTTGACACTGGAACTGGAGTGTCTCGTTGAAATGGCATCAACCGACCTGGAATTCCAAGTACAATACTGCCAGAGCTATCATCATCATTAATCGTAGTGCTCGTCTCTTCATCGATGCGCGTCATTGTTCCAACAAGCGTTCGCTCAGCGATATTCGCACCGGGCTGAATAGTGCAATGATTTCCAAGTTGAGCATTGCGTCCGATTCGAATATGATTGACTTTACATTGACCATCTCTCGTCACAGTGAATGGAATAAATAATGCGAATCCGTTCACTGTGCTGCCTGGTTCAAGCTGAACGAGATTCGTTGGAAAAGCAAGTAGAAAATGAGCTTGAGAAATACGAATATCATTCGTTTCGTCGATTCGAACACCTAGCCATTGCAAAAGACGAGGAAATAGTGTATGATAGAAACCGAAATTGGATACAAATGAGAATGCTAATGATCGGACGACAAGTTGACGAAGCCAGAATTTACGCAAAAAATACCATGAATTCAATGAATATGTTCCCGGCTGTGCTGCGCCAACGATGAGTTTGAGAAGAACAATGCATGGAAGCATGCGACCGGTAGACCAAGCAAGCCATACGATGGCTAGTCGAAGAAATAGTGGTATCATCGTTGGCAAACACCAGTATGTGAATGTGAGAATGGAGATATGAAGAGAAAGCATGATTAAAATTGATACAAGTTGGAAAACTTTTTGTGATTTGGATAGAGCATTATTAATGTTCTGCGATTTGGGCTGTTCGTTGTCAATTTGTTTCGATTGGCCATCCACAATTGATCCACTTAAAACATAACCAGTAACTGGCGACATGGGTTTGACTAGGATTCGTTCTTCCATTTCAACTCCATTGTAGAGAACTGCTCGACAATCAATTGAACAATTCGAGCCAATGTGGATTTGATGGAGTTCAAATATTCGATCGTGATAGGTGAGGGAAGAGAGAACAGCTTCATCACCAATATAAGTAGAATTGTCAATCTGGAGAAGATCAGGCGCATCGATAAATGTCGTGTCAATGATCGTATGCCGACCGATATGAGCCCCACACAGCCGCAGATATGAGTTGTAAAATGATGTACCCTGAATATGGCTTAGCCAAAAAGTGTTCAAAGTCCATATACGTTGCAGAAACCACCAACGATAGTAGTTAGAGGAAAAGAGTGCATCTTGCATTTGCGACATTCCCAATGGAAATAGCAGCAGTTTACACAGTACATAGCTGATTAAATGAATTAAAGGAATGATGCATAAAAATATTATCGAAGAGTAAGATATGATTATGATAATTGGTAAGATCCAAAGGCTGACAAGAAAAAGAATACCAATAGTTTCAGTAATAATTGATGGCATCAGACGAGAGGTTTTTTTCTCGTTGTTTTCAATCGGTTGTATATCTGTGTCAAGCTTGTTGTCGATAATTAGTGGCTGAAGGACTTTAGCAAGCTGTCGAACAGATGGATTTGCAAATAAAAGATTAGCGTTAATTTTAGAGTAAATATTTTGTCGAATCAATGATAGAGCTCGCATAGCTCCGAGTGATGTACCGCCTAATCTACCGAATGAAATATTGACATCAGGTAATGACAAGAAATGAAATGCTTCTACGAAAATATTCTGAAGTTCTGCTTCGAGCTCTGTAGCTGGATGTGAGTGAGAATCCTTGTCATTGTTTATCATTGCATTAAAATTGGGTTTTGGCAATGCCTTGCGATCAACTTTTCCGTTTGTATTCAATGGTAATTTCTCAAGCACGATGAACATCGATGGAACCATGAATGGAGGTAAGCGAGACTGACAGTGCACGCGCAGTTTCTCTACGTCGATATCCTGACTTTGCACATAGGCGATCAAATGATCATCGCTCCATTTGATGACGACACATGCAGAAATCGAAGTGTCGAGCAAGCATCGTTCGATCTCTCCCAGTTCAATGCGCTGTCCTCTTAGCTTCACTTGGTGATCTTTGCGACCAATGTAATGGATTAGACCATGACTGTCCATCCGAACAAGGTCACCTGTTCTATAGAACATCTGACCATCGATGTTGACCAATACCTTCACCGTTAAATCTTCGCGGTTGAGGTAACCAGCAAAGACACCCACACCACCCACGAGTAGCTCACCCTCTTGACCGACATGAACGGGTTGTGAGAATTCATCGAAAATGCGACATTGGTAATTAGGAAGTGGTCGCCCGATTGAAACACTTGTGTAAGTCACCATACGATCAACAAGATGAAATGTGCAATCCATTGTCGTCTCTGCAGGTCCATACAAATTCCATATTCGACATGTTGGTGCTACAATATCTTTCAGTAGGTTGAGCAGCTTGACTGACAGTGATTCACCTAACGTTGATAAGTAAAAGCAAACTATATCGATTTTCGTTAACATGAAAAACTCACCGCCACTACAAACTGATTGCAGAAAAGCTACAGCAGAGAAAAGGTTGTTTTCTTTGATATATTCAAAAAAGCTCTGGAACACGGTTGGGACAGCGTGCATGTGGGTAACCTGCTTGTCTCTGAGTACCTGAGCCAGGTACTCATAGTGCATGTTTCCTTTCGGGTGAAGCATGACTAATGTAGCGCCGACAATCAATGTTCCAACAATGTCTTGTATATGGATATCGAAGGAGCAACGAGCCATCTGTAAAATTGTATTCATCTCACTGAACGTGCCAACATGAACAAGAGATCGAATGCACTCCATGAAATTTCTGTGCCGTACTTGAACCTGTAATGAAAGCAATATTGATAGTTTACTGTTCCGAAGCCGAGTTGGGAACTTACCGCTTTTGGTGTGCCCATTGAACCACTAGTAAAGATAATATAAGCGATGCTTTCGGGTGTTATTGTGATGCATGAAAGCTGGTCGAGATCATTGTTATTTGTTGTTGTGCTGGCGTTTAGTACTGCATCGATATCTAATGTGACATCATCGTTTCTGAACTTGTCTCGCGTCATCCAATGAACGAGGACAACACGGTATTGCGTCTGTTCGATGAGTGCACGCAATCGTTGTTCAGGATCTAGAGGTGATAGCGGACAATAGACACCGCCAGCCATTTCGATGGACAAGATACCAATGACCTATGGAAGGATACACAAAGAAAATCAAGCATTCGTTTCAGACGAACTCACCATCGATAGACTGCGTTTCATACATTGACAAACGATGTCACCGGACCTGAGATCATAGTTGATCATTAAATGAAGGGCAAGCTGTTGTGCATAATATAAAAGTTCACTGTAGGTGAGAGACTGCTCATCGAGTTCGATGGCCACTTTTTGTGACAAATTGGCAGCTTGTTGACTAAAACATTGGCCAATAGTGCCTCTCACCCTTTGTTGTTCGTTGTCCTCCTGGTATTCTAATTTAGTATCGTTGAGTGCTTGTTGAAGCTTCATCTCGTTAGGTAACAACAATGAGGCACTAAAGATTGGTTGTTGTCGTCTAGTGTTTTGTTCAAACAGTTGTCGTAAAAGAATATGAAAACGTTGTGCCATTGTATTTATCGTACATTCTTCGAAAAGATCTTTAGAGTAATTAAATAAGAGTTTCATATGTTTGCTGTTTGAATCGTATTGAATAGCAAGAGTGAGATCAAATGTGGCCACTCGGCTACGGTTGCCATTTTCTGCACCAGCATAACTGAAACGAACATTGTCAATTGTTGACATGATATCACTTGCGATATATTCTTCGTTTGTTTCGAATAGGAATAATGTATTGGCAGCGATCGAGTTCGGTGATACTATTTGTTGATAAGGTAATTGAGAATGTACAAGGGCTTTGATTAGAAAATTTTGAACAGTAATAACAAACTCATTGAATGAGCATTGAGGATCGAGCTGTAAACGATAAGGTATTGTGTTGACGAACATACCGACCAGCGAATGAAATTCATGACGAAGTCGATTGGCAAAAACACTAAGCACATACAAGTCTGATTCATTCTGAGTCAATTTAAACAAGTAGACGAAATAACTGGCAAGAAACACTTGGTACAAGGAAACGTTTGTTTCACTTGAAAAGTGCATTATCGAATGTACTAACTGTGTGTTCAGCTCAAAAGAAAGAGTTTCTCCACGACCAGAACGAGGAAAAGCCAGACATTCTGGATGATCATAAGGGAGAGCAATATACTTTGTAAAGTCATAGCCATACAAAGTTTTTTCCCAAAATTGTTTGTTCTGCGTAAAATCGAGTGAACGTTCGTATGAAGCATAATCGAGATAGGTCATTGTATTCGAATCGAACGGTGCCAGTTCTTGATTACGATAAGCATCGGCAAAGTCTGTAAAGAAAGGTTTGATTGAAGATCCATCAAAAGCTGAATGATGAAAATTTAAAATAATGATGTCATTTGATACAAGTTTATCTTTCTTTTCGTTATCACTATGTCGTCGCACGATGTGCAGACGGACATTACGTCCTTGTTCAGTATCAAAAAGAGATCGATTTATTTCTTCATTGATAATTATTGCTGTGAGTTCTTCATCGTTCAATATAAAGCTTTCATTGAATTCGAAATTTTGCTCAGCAACTGGAAGAATACGTTGCCAAAGACAATCATCATGAAACTGTAGCATTGTTCGCAAGGTATGATGTTTGCTGATGACAAGGCTAAGAGCTTGACGAAGACGTTGAATAGATAATTGACCGGATTCCAACTTAAAAACAAAAGGAACATTGTACATGGCGATCGGCGCTTTCTGTTGATCGAATCGAACTTGTTCATCCAACCAAATTCGTTCTTGAGCATACGACACAGGACCTTCAATCGACAGAAATACCATTCATCGTATCCCAACAACTTTTTCCCTACCTTCTGTTCGATGAGACGTTGACCAGTCTGATGATTTCTGATATGGTCCGACAAGAGAACTGTTTACATGTGCTTCAAGAATGCGCACATGTTCAGCTATTGTCCGATTTTTCAAGAAATCACTTATATTTAATGTGCGTTGTTTAAATTCGAAGGTTACATCATATTGACCGATTAGTTGCATGAGTTGAAGAGAATTCCCACCCAAAGAAAATAAATCAGCATTAATTGACACTTGATTAAGATGGAGTAAGTTACACCAAATTCGATGAATCATTATCTCAAGATCTGTACTAGGCTGTTCGTTGTCCATCGTAATCTGACCCAGTGATGAGAAATCGGGTGGAGGAAACTAGAAAAACATGAGTGTATGTTATCAATTACTGAAATTATGAAATCTTCCAAAATAACAGCCACCGATTGCTTGATATTTTTGGCAAGATTTTATCACCTCGAATCTTTTTTGGGCTATCCACATTGACTCTCTTTTGTCCCTCGATGATCTCAACATTTAACAAAAGCCCATTTCTGATACACTAAGGAACCTACACTGTAAAACAGAGAGTGCTTGTACAAATCTGTAAAGGATATTCTAGGAGTGCCCATACAAATTCAACGATCAATTTCCACTTTCTTGAAAATAAAGCATGCCAATTCAAGTTTCGATTTTGTGCTGGAAATAGAATCGAATTTCTATTATTTAGATAATCAAGCATTTTCTAAAAAATTGAAATTTGGCGAATGAATGATAAGAGTTTGAAAAGGCTTTAGCTTCTTT